TGCATCCAGCCAGCCAGCCAGCCAGCCAGCCAGCCAGCCTCGGGAGCCCTATGGGCAGTTCTGCTCTGTCCTGTTGGGTTACTAGGAATTAGAATCAACTGTGTGGTGGTAGATATTTCTGGAACACACCAACACTCACATGGAGAGGCAGTTCCAGTATGTTCTGTGACCTGGTCTGCCACCTGAGTGTCTTTTGCAAAGGTCTTCAGTTCATCCTCTCACTTAAGAGATTTCTTAGGTCAAGAAGAGAATCATACCGTGAATTGTACCATTTATGAGTCCTTGCCATGTACTTGAAAACAGACTACACACTTTCATTTCATCTTCCCAGTGGCGACCCTACAACATAGAATCTATCCATATTTCCAGTTAAAAGATGAAGAAATTGTGGTTCAGAGAGGTTCAGGGTCCCTGTTTCAAAATTACAGACCCAGGATTCCAGTCATTAACTAAATCAGGCCAAGCAGGGCTCGCATGTCTAGATTGGCCAGCATGTCTGAGTCCCTCATCCAGGGAAAGCCATACTTGAGGCCTCGAACACGATCCAAATTCTCACCCCTGGTTTGAATGACATGGGGCTGTATGTAATCTGGACCTCAGAGGCCCTTGGCAAAGGAGCCAGCTTCTCGCTTGTCACCGGGAGCAGTTCTTAGCTTCTGCATGATCCCCAGATCCTGGGAGGCCCAGGGAGGCCCATTCTCTCCCCATGACAACAGTGGTAACAGAGACTTTGCCTTGAGAACCGGATCTTGTTCCCCTCTGTTTGCTTTTGGAATTAAAACGTGAACATCCACCGGAGTCCCCACAGAGACCAGTTGGTGACATTCTCAGACTCTGGATGAGCTGTTTGTCAACAGCATGCTACAGAGCAGAGGATGGGGGAACAGCTCGGAGCGGTGCCCACAGCCTCCAGCAGGCCTTCTGCTCTTCTGAAGAGGGAGGCAGTTCTCCGTGCAGGCCTTCTGGGGGGCTCCGGTTCCATGGCAACACCCTGCCCGCATCTCTGGAGCCATAGAGATCCAGGAACAGTTGTTCTGACCTCCACTGACCCCAGCGATGTGAGAGACGTAAGCGTGAGGTCTGACCCCTCACCGGCCACGTCCGTGACCAGACGGGGAACTGGAGGAGCGTGTTCTCAGAAGGGCCTCCACTGGATCCTTGGCCCAGCATCTTACCAGTGTCGTGTTCTCATCACTGACCAGGCGGTGAATCAAGAGGAATCAGAAGAGCAATCAAGGAAGGAAAAGTGGGAAAGAGCCGCAGACTATAATCACAGTCTCCATTTCCAGATGACCACGGGGCCTGGCGAGGTGTCTAGATTCTCCCCGACTCTCTGCCCTTAGCGAGTGACCAGTGGTCTTCATTGTTCAGGAATCTACTGCTGTCCTTCAAAAACGATGGGCAAGCACGTCAGGCTGAGGAATATTAGCACACCGACGGAAGACCTGGCCGTGGTTATGTTTCAAACAGTCTGCATTTGCTGTTCCCTCAGCATGGTATAATCAGTACTCTTCTCCAGCACCACAGCTCAAAGGCGTCGCGTCTCCTTCTAGCATCCCTTGTCATTGTTCAGCTCTCTGATACGCAGCAAGTAATTGCTAAGACCATGGAAATGACCAGTGCTTCTGGGGAGGAGAGTAAATGGTACAAAGGCCTACCTGCAATACATGCACTTACTCTGTATAAAATGGTACAAAGGCCTACCTACAATACATGCACTTACTCTGTATTATCGTATCACAAATTACCCCAAATCTAGCAGTTTAAAACCACACACACACACAACACCAAAACAAAACAAAACAAAACAAAAAACACCACACACATTTATTTCCGTTTCCAGGCATAAGAGTTGGGTCCCCTGCAGAAATTCTTACAAAATGGCAGTCAAGGTGTTGGCCAGGCTACATTCTCATCTGGAAGCCCATCTGGGGAAGAAGCCGTTTCCAAGTGAATTCAAGTTGTTGGCCAAATTCATTTCCTTACGGATCGTGGCTTTCTGCTGGCTGTAAGCGAGGCCACCCTCAGGTCCTACAGACTGTCTTGCCGTCACCATCTGGGCTTCTCCAACATCATGCTGGCTTCTGAGCTGATCAAGCCCACACGGAGAGTCTCCAGCTTCAGTCCACTAAGACCAAGTCTTTGCTAGCAAAGTGGAAATAGAAGTGACACTCTCTGTCACTTTTATCATAGTGGATAAATGAGAAGTAAGTTACACACGGGGATCACCTGTTAGTGTCGGGCAGGTTTCCTTCCAGCCCCGCTTGAATATTGCCTGTGATGAAGACCTAACTCTCATTAGGAGTCAACACCACTGCTGAATGGTTCTATGGAACGTTCTTTCTTCTTCTTATGCCATTGAGTTGTCTGTGACTCATAGCAACCCCTGTATACATTAGGTTTGAACCCCGTCCTCTCCTGTGCCAATCTCATTGTCTTCCACAGACCTAATACCATTTCTCCAGTCACTGTGTCAATCCATCTCATCCTGGGTCTTCCTCTCCTGCGCTGTCCCTCCATCCTTCCAAGCATAATGTCCTTCTCCAAGGACTGGTCCCTCCTGGCCACATGTTCAAAGTATGTGAGATGGAGCTTCAAAATCCTTGCCTCCAGGGAGCAGCTTGGTTTCACTCTCTCTAGGACAGACTGGTTTGTTCTCCTGGTGGTCCAGGATATGTTCAACACTCTTCTCCAGCACCACAACTCAAAGGCATCGATCCTTCTCAGCAGGGTCAGAGCATGGTGAGAAAAGTGAGGAAGAGAACAATGAGGACAGAGAAGCAAGTGGATCAGATTGTATTGGAATCTGCAGAACGGGCAAAAATACCACTTAGTTTATATTATTATTATTATCTAAGTAAAACTCACATAGCATCAAACTCAGCACTTTAGAGTACAAATTCCTTGGAATGTAGCACACTCCCAATACTGTGCACCCCTAACTGTTTCCAAGGTTGCAAATCTTTACGGAAGGAGCTTACCCAATCTTCTCCTTTGGAGAGACTGGTGGATTCAAACCCCTGACCTTTTGGTTAGCAGTATAACACTTAACCCACTGTGCCACCAAGGCTTCTTGTATACAGTAGGCCCAGGCTTTTTTTCAGAAGCCGTTGGCGACTCTAAACAGGAGCTTTAGAAGTGTTTGTTGTGTACCATCCATTCGGAACTGACCCCTAGCTGACTCCTTGGGGGGTTTTCAGAGACAGTCGTGCGAGAGGAAGTGCCCATCTTATTGTCCTTCAGAGCAGCTGACAGACTTGAACCACATACCTTTGGGTTAGCAGAACAACTCTTTACCACTAAGCCAGTCCTCTTATAGCTACCCCTCGGGAACGTGTGTTGTTTCCTCAAGCCAGACCCTCCTTCCCTTTCTCACAAGATTTCTCCGGAGACCCCATCCCTTTCCCTCCAAGCTCTCTCTTCTCTGCTCCTCAGAACAAACCCGCTAAGGTGGAGGACAGCAGAGGAGCAGGATGGTGGGAGCGGGATGGGGCCTTTAATTTCCAGCGTTGAGCGTCAAAAGGCAATTTCATGCCTGCTGACGAGATTAGAGCCGTGGAAGTAATGGAGCCTGGCAGCTAATGGGGTACTGACTCCGGAGGATTTGCAGATCCTGCTTCTCCTCCTCCCGGAGACAAGCTTTTCTCGCGGTGTTTAACCCTGCAAGCTGCCTGCGGCTGCTGCACCACCATGCCCTGTGGCCAGGACCAGGCTGTCAATGGAGGTGACATTTGACACTGATCACAGGACAGAAGAAGAACTGATTCCTTTGAATTTTGGCGTTGGAGAAGAGCATGGATTGCCAGAAAAACCCCAAACAGTTATGCCTTGGGAAAAGTGCAGCCAGATGGCTTCTTAGAGGCAAGTGTGGCTTTCATATACTTTGGGCACGTTGCTAGGAGAGGTCATTCCTTGGAATCTTGCTTGGAAAGGTGGAAGGTTGACAGAATAGAGGAAGACCCCCAGTGAGTGGATTTACACAGTGACTGCCGCAGTGAGTTCAAGTGCATTACAAATTATGATGACGGCACAGGACAGGACGGGGGTCAAGTTTGTTGTTCATATAGTTGCTATGAGACATACTCGATTCAGTGGCACCTAACAACCACAATAAAGTGTTAACTGTGCAGCCTCCTCCTCTCTCTCTAGGCTGTTCGAGGGTCCACGCTGGCGGACACTCCATTCTCTATCGTGTGCTGGCCACCAGCTCAGAGTCCCACCCCAGCCACTTCCCAGCCCTGTGGCCTTGGGCAAAGAGCCTAGTTTCTTGGACCAGCAGCACACAGTAGGGGCAGTGTGAGGTCTGAGTGTGGTATATCAGCACATATACCAGTGTTTAAAGTAACAAAGTCAAGAAGATTAGCAGCTAGAGCTCAAAATGCTGTAGGAGCCTTTGGGCTTGCGAATCCAGATGCAAAAGTAAAGTGAAGTGATTTTTACAAACCTGCTTGGCAACTCATTTGAACGTCTAAAGCACAGTGCCGTGTTCAAACAAGCTGTCTCCATGCCAGACAGATGCTGCAGTCAACCTGGGACCCATCGCTTCAATCTATGCTCCCAAAATGCTTTCCATCCACTTAGCCTACACTTCTGAGAACACCAGTACCTCTAGAGCCTCACCGGCATTCAGAAATGCTGCTTAGGGACTGCCAGCAAGTGCTAAGGTCTTAATAAGAAAAAGTGCCTCAGAACCGTATGAGGGGGATCAAGTGATCCATTGTATAGACAGAGGCTGTGAAACAGAACCCTTTCCCAGAGACTCCCTAGCAGAGCTTGACTACTGGTCCATGAGTCTGCTCACCGTTTTACCCGTGAACCGAAACCTCACTGCTATGCAGTTGGTTCTGACTCTTAAAAACACTGTAGCTCGATAGTGAATTACAACCGCCAGACACTGTCAGCTTCGAGGTTAACATCACAACTCTGGACTACATCCACCAGAGCTCCCTAGTAGTTTATGCTGTTGCCTGGACTCACAGCTTCCCAACTTGTGTTTTCAGGCTCCAGGGAGGCTGGTCCGTCCACCCGAGCGGCCAACAGGACAGACAGAGGAAGCAGGAAGAACTGACAGATGAAGAAAAGGAAATCATCAACAGGGTGATCGCTCGCGCTGAGAAGATGGAGGAGATGGAGCAGGAGCGAATCGGGTGAGGCCTGACACTTCGCGTTCCTTCCGAGCGTCATTGGGACCCAAGGGCCAGTCCCCCAGGGCTCCTTGACAGGAGCTGGGCTGCGTATGCTGGTGGGACAGCCCTGCCTTTGGGGCTTGTCATCTGTGACTTTCCAGGCTACCTCCCTCTCCAGGGAATCCTTATCCCAGGAGGTAGAGGAGCTGGAAGAGGAGAATAAAGAGTAGAGGAGAAGGTGGAAATAGAAGCGGTGTGAGGGGGCTTCTTTTCTGGGTGGGCAGCGGAGGAGCGCGGGACTGGTCTTCTGATAGGAGATGCGAGCTTGTCGCTGGAGGCTGGAAAGGTATTATAACCAAGCAGAGGGTGGGTATCACAGTCCATAACAGCATCACAGAAGGATGTGCTAGAAACACTGACACTGTAGATGCCGGATGCTCAAGAGCGGAATAAATACAGGAGAGAACTTTCTAAATGAATGTGAGAATATTGAATAGGCAGTGAGAACAAGAGAGCCCCTCGGGGACAAGGATGGGCACTGTGGCTGCCGCACGGTGGGCTTCGGCGCGGTAGAATCTGGGCACATGGCTTGGCACAGGCCTGGGCTGGGTTTGTCCTCTTATGCGTCTTTGGGGTCAGTATGAACTGGAACCGACTCGGTGGGACACAGCAATGATGGCAGAGAGTGGCCGTGTAAGAGGGCGACAGCGTGGCAGGTGGGGGAGGCAGCAGAGGTTCACTCAGTGGCTCTGGACTCAAATCCTGGGGTGCCATCCAGCTCCCCACTCATCTGCTGTGGCTCGTGGGCACATTTCACCTCTCTGTGCCTCGCTTTGCTCCCAACAGGAAGGGAACAATGGGAGTCGTCATCCCACAGGGCTGTTGAAAGGTTTTAGCAAGATGAAGAATGCCCTAATTGTGTTCCCCTAATGGGAGGAGGGAGGAAGGCTCAGAGGGCAGAGAAAAGGAAGCAGAGGCTACATGAGTGTGTGTGTGAGAGAGGGGTACAGTGAGCAGACAGTGATGCAGAGACAGGAGCGTGTGGACAGACTTGACGAGGAGGGGGCAACATGCGAGTGATGGTCAGAGTGGACGAATGAGGGAGGTGACTGAGGGACAGAGAGAGCAAGTGTGTGGATCTGGGAGGAAATCCACGTGCTGCTCCAGCCGTCACCTCCATGTGCTGGAGACTTGTCAGGAGACCAGGGCTGGTCCTTGCTGTGATCCAAGACCATGACCTCAGGCTGAGAGTGGAGGGGTACTGCGGCCTCCAGCTCCCCACTCTTAGTTAGAGGTGAATGTCCTTGGGGGGAATACACGGGAGCTGGCTACCCAACAGGTCCCCTCGCTCAGGACGGACTGGCCAGATCAGAGGTACAACTGGCAAATGACAGATACCTGCCACAAGCTGTGTGCGCTTCCAGCCCCTCCCTCCCCTGTGAAGGTCCCAGCTTCCGTGCTCTGGCCCAGAGTCTGGGGTCCTCGATTTGCCCCCCATGTCCTGGCACATTCACTAGCTTAACCCAGTGACGTGGTGGATGGCACAGTGAGTACGCTGTGATTTCAAAGTCAGAGAGACCCTCATTCTGCCACTTACTACCTCAGATAAGCCGCTCTAACTGCTCTGTGCCTCAGTTCCCACGTCTGTAAAATGAGGGCATTAGCACACGCTTCTTGGAGAGTGTTTCATTAGCTTACAAGTGAACAGTCGTGATTATGAGTCGGCTGGGGAGACGGTGTTCTTGACCCTGGTCAAGTCTCTCTTCTGGAATCATGCTCCGTGATTCCTGCTCGCCAGGCCCTGGGATTCCGGCAGCCCCCGGCTTGCCCTGGCGAATACGGAGACTTCCAGAGAGGCTCAGCCAAGACTTTGGTGACCGAATGTCCCTTTGCTTTCTGCTCTGCCCAATTTCCCAGAGAGGGTGGGCGACTCAAGGCTTCCGGCCCGGCTGCTTCACTGCTCCCTCCAGCAGCCAACCCTCGCTGGCAGCATTGCCAGAGGCAAACTTGATGCTATTTGTGTTTTATAAGCTCCAAGTTGCCCTAATTCCCGTTCTACCCACGCTTCCCTGGGTGGGGATCAGAGCAGAGCCAGATGAAAGAGAAGCCAAGCATCAGACCTGGGGAGAGGCGAGGACGGGGTGCCATCAGATCCCGAGGCTGTTGAGCTCTCGCATTTGCAGCCTCAGTTTCCCCCATCTGTCATGTGAAGCATGGCAGTCTGATTCTCAGTGCCATTCCCATTCAACTCCACTCCAGGGCTGTTTTATTTTGGGTGATTCCCAACATGGGGCCACTGTGAATGATTTCAACTCATCTAAAAGAGAACAAATGTCGCCAGACCCTCTGCCACTCTCACGCAAACTTTGTGGCCTGAGAGACCACCCCCCAGAAAAGATGTGATGTCATTCTCATGCACTTGAGAAATCGTGGTCCTATCGGGTATCCTTAATGAATGCTTAACCCACTGCTGCCAAGTTGAGTCCAGCTCGTGGTGACCCTCCACTGGTTTTCTGAGACTATAACTCTTAATAAAATCAGACTGTCACATCATTTTCCCTGGAAAGCGACTGGTGGATTTGAACCACGGACCTTGCAGTTAGCAGCCCAATATGTGCCTGTTGCTGCCCCTGGAAAACGTCATATGACTCAGCTCATTAACTGCTGCTCTCAGTCCTAGGGAACACGTACTGTTATCATCCCCATTTTGCAGGAGTGAAAATAAGGTTTAAGGGAGGCTAATCACTTGTTCGGGACCACACAGAGCAAAGAGACCCTCTGACTGGCTGCTTCTCTGGCTGGACTTGCTTTTAAGACGTGTTGGCTCTGCAGAACCTGAGAAATTTAAATTTTTACTTAGTTTTCACCAAATATTAGACCCTTATTTTTTATTTATTAGATTTTGTGTTGTTCGTTGAGTGAAAGTTGACAGAGAACGCTGGTCCTTCATTCAACAGTTCACACTCACAACATTCATTGTGGTCCCCTCAATGTAGCAGCACTCTTCCCACTCTCTCCCTGTGTTTCTCATTTCCATCTGTCCTTCCCCTTTCCTTCCTGCCTTCTGAGCTTTGGTCCTGGGTACATGTGCCCTTTAGGTCTCATACCATTGCTTGGACTGAGGACCCCATTCCTCTCTGTTGTTACTCTTCTCTTTATAGGTCCTTTTGTTGTTTAGCTGAAAATTGACTTCCTGGAGTGGCTTCAGTTCTGTATTTGAAGGGTGACTGGGAGCCATAGTCTCAAAACTCCCATCAGTCTATCAAATCAGTACATCTGTTCTTTTTTAGTTTTAGTTTTATCCACCTTTTTCTCTCACTTTGTCCATGATCCCCTATTACGATCCCTTACAGAGCAGTTGACAGTGGCAGCCGTCCACCATCTAGTTCAGATCTCACGATTCAGAGGCTGAGCGGTTCCCAGATTAACCCTTTGGACCAACCTCTTTGACTTTCTTTACTCTTTTTTGTTCTGGGCAAGAAGAATCCAGTAGTTGCACTTTAAATGGCAACTCACAAGCTTTTACGACCCCTGTGGGTTAAGAATACAGACAGTTTTTCTAGCTCTTCTTAATCCTGATTAAAAATTCTCAGGAAAGGGATTCCTACTGGCCAAGCTCAATGAATGCCCACCCTCTATCCATTCGGCTGTGTTCAGAGGTCCCAGGCTATCCAGATGCAGCCGACCACTGCTGAGAGTGAAAGGGGTCTTCATGAGTTAGACGGACATGCAGGGAGTGTATCCATCGCCTGCGGAACATTCTAAGTCTGGGATTCATCATTTACCTCGGAAAGTTTCTGTTGCCATTGTTTTGTGGTGGTTAAGGTGGTTTTTACCCCCTTTCCCAATGGTAGGCTTCCTTCCGTCCAGACCTTCAGGAACGCGAGGCATTCCCAAAGGCATTTGCTTGCCTGCAAGGGGACAGACTGCCGGGTGGCCTCCATTGACGTCAGCTCCCCTAAACAGATGGGCCCCAAAAAGTAATTAGGATTTGTCATTAACCTTGATGTCCAGACGCCGTGATGAAGGACACCCGAGAGACCCAGGGAGGCCTGTTGTTGACAGACGCTGTTGCGTTCCTGTCACCTCCCCGTCCCGGTTCCTCCATCCCCACCTCTTCTGACACCGAATTTTCCCAGAATGTAGACCAAGAGGGAAGAGAGTAATAAATAGTACTCAGAACTTGTGGCATCTAATTCCATTGGCGTCATTCCCATGGGTTGACAAGTTGACGCTAAGCTGTGTCTTTAAGACCCTCTTCTAAAAGAGGGCTTTTCTTTTCACCCTAGAGTCCCGCATGTTCTGTGGATGAGACTCGGGGATTTGTCACCCATCCTCATATTATAAGCACACTGGTGCCTGTGGCTGCATGCTTTTGACAAGGAAAAAAAATATTTCCAACTTTCATCAGTCTATAGGGGCTTCTGAACCCCCCCTTCTCACGTTAAGAACTATTGAGTCATACATCGGTTTTCCTTGAAATTTGGTCGGTATTTTCTACTGTCCTTCCCAAATCACTATTTCATGGGATCATTGTTGTGTAACATCATGTCGGAACCAACCCAGGACAGACCCTTCCATTGTTTGTCAGAGGCAGTTCATCACACGGAAGGAGCTTGCCCATCCTTCTCCCACACTTCATTTTACACAAAAGAAGAATGGGTATTTTCTTAATAAGCCTTGAGGATAGCAGGAAAGAGAAAACTAATATCTACCTGTTGAAGGAATGAACCAGTAATGACATGAACAGGCTCCTCATTGAGTCACTTTAACCTCACGGGCCTCCTTGTTCCCATCTGTAAAATGGGACTTGGGCCAGATGGCTTCCTAAGCCCAGGGTTTCTCAATCTGGGAGTGATTGACATTTTGGGACAGGTGGTTCTTTGCCAGGGGACTGGCCTGAGCATTGTCGGATGGTAAGCAGCATCCCTGGCCTTTATTCACTAAATATCAGTCACTCGTCCAAGTTAATGACAATTTTAAAATGTCTCCAGGTATTAACATATAATTCCTTAACATAT